TTTTTTCATTTTACCAGCCACCCCCAAAGATACTCCCATGCCGGGTGGGCGTGTGGGGGAATTCCGGGAGGTTGAAGTCCACACATCATAAAGCTGCCAAGGTTGAGAAACATTGCTTTAAATCTTTGGAATTGGAGAGTTAAAAATGTTCAGCTGGGAGTCATTTTCATTCCAATTATTTTTCTCCACAGCCCAATTTGCCCCCCGCCCCCCGTTTCAAAAGCTCGCTGCTCTGCTGCGGGGCAACATGCACAATCCCCAGAGGGGTTGGATAGCACAGGATGGTTGCATAGCAGCGGCCGCACACAACCGTTTGGGGTAGTTGAAAAAGGAATACAGGACAGGCATAACCTCCACACCCTAGGCGGGCTGGGATCCTTAATTTCTTCCCCAGGTACTTTGGGCAGGGCTGAGATCCTCCACCGGGCAGGGGGCTGGAGCAGATCTTCCTGACAGCACGGTCCAGCTTGACGATTCAGTGATTTTCCCTTGCTTTTTGAAAACCGTGGGACATCCCCTGCCAGGGTTCCGTCCACGTTTTAGGATGATTTTTACTTGGTGTTCTGCTGAATTTTGGCAGAGCTTTGAGAGGTGCTGGAAGAAAGTTTGGAGGCACTTGGATGAGGGGTTGCACGTTTGCCTACCCTGGTATCGGGGAAGGGGTGTGGCCTTTGTGCCAGGGGTCGATAGGCTGCCGTTGGATTTTGGAGAGCCTCCTCGTTGCATCGCTCAACCTCTTATCATCTTTAGGGAAGAATGAGGATGTGGGCTTAGTCAGGGAGGGCTGGAACAGCTGGAACGGGCTCCCCCAAATCCTGGTCTTTCTGCTTTGACCTCCTTGGCAGCTTCATCACCACCAACTGCGCCCTGCAGTTCTCCTCGCGTGGGATCCGTCCAGGCCTCACGACGGTCCTGGCCCGAAATCTGGACAAGAACACCATGGGGTATCTGCAGTGGCGCTGGGGCATGCAGTCAGCCATGAACACCAGTGTGGTCCGGGACACCAAAACCAGCCACTTCACAATGGCGTTCCAGGTGGGAAATTCTTCCTTTATTTCTTGAATAGTGATTTGCATAGAGCAGTGTTTCTCAACCTCAGCAACTTGAAGATATGTAGACTTCAACTCCCAGAATGGCTGGCTGGGGAATTCTGGGAGTTGAAGTCCACACATCTTCA